CTGATAAGCTAGCTGAAATAAAAAAATTCAACTAGCTTATTTGAAAAGCTACCTAAAGTAGCTTATGAAATAAGCTCGAGCTTTTTAAAAAAGCTCGTCCTACCAAACAAGACTTATTTTAAACAGGGAGCTTATAAGTTAACCAAATAAGCTAAAAGCTAATTTATTTGGTTTACCCAACATACCCTAAAAACAGGGGCGTAGCCAGAGGGTGGCTCACCCGGGCTCCAGCCCAGTCTTAATTTTTTGATTTATTTAAATATGTAGTACTAGAAAAATATTTTTTAACCCATGTATACCAAATTGGTTATAGCAGCCCAATATAGAAAATATTTCTGGCTACGCTACTGCCTAAAAATAAGTTTGATTGGTTGGTTTTGCATTTAAGAGTGTCATCAGTTTGAGCCTCCATATTATAACTTAGAAAGTTCCAATCAAGCGTGGTTATGTTATCGTAATTTAAAGGATGAATCAAATTAATTGTCGGTATTTTCACACGAGATGGTACGGTCAACGATTTTATTGAGTTTGTAACCGTTATATCAACTATTATCGACAATTATATGATGATCTAATAATCCGACTAACAGTAGCATTTCTCCACTTTCACTAATATGTTGGAGTTTCGTTTTCATTTCACCCTTCTTTTCTTTATAAGGAGATATATAGGCAACACGTGGAGGAAGTTCAATTCACACTCTACCATTTTATAATTAAACATTTACGAAAACTATGAAAAGGAGGAATTTAAAAGGGACCCGTAGCAGGTGACCCTTCATATATCATGAATCCATGATAGAATTTATTCTCCCTCGTGTTTGATGAGTTATAATTTGTGTAACCAATGGAGTTATAATGGGTCTTAATTTCAAACCACCAACTAGTTATTTAAATATCAAATAAATAAATTTAATGAATAACAATTGATATTCTAACAGCCATGTAATATTTTTTTTTTCAAACGATAATTAAATTAAAATCAAAAAACTCAGAAGATAGTACAAAAAAAATGCCAACAGACACAACAGGAACCAGAAAACGTGGACCTACCCCCTTAAACAAATACATGAGTCCAAAAGGTATCAACTTCATCTAGGAGATAACCGCACACAAAAACCCAACTCTAGAAATGAGACAGAAACTCCATTACGGAGACTGAATGTCAGACACAGTTGGACTTAAAAAATTAAAAACATAAAGAAAAAAAAAAGAAAGAAAAACAGCTCACACCAAATAAACGAAAAATAGAAAGAAAAAACACACACCTAATTTACAAATAAATTAGGACCTCCCCTACACCTAGCAGACCCAACTCCCGGCCACCGAGACCGCACACGAGCCACTACCACTAGCATAGAGAATCAACAAAGCCGCAAACCAAAACTTCAAGCCCGAAAATTGCGCCACTCGTGCTGCCTAGTCGGATATGATGAAGAGTCTGCTCTCGATTTAGATCTGGACTCCGAAAAAACATCCACGCTAGGGGAGATAAGGAGCCGTCACTAATCCTTCGAAAATCACGCCGGATAGCTCGAAAATGGTTCAAACGCAAAGTCGAGCCGCACCCTTGAACACCACACAAAGAGAACCCAAACCCGACACACCAACAACACGATGGACTCCACAAAAGTATTGTAGTACAATTTATTTTCAAAACAAACCGCGTATATTATATATATATATATATATATATATAAACTAAAGGAAATGTTACAATCTCGTTACAGAACCATTCCGTCGGGGTTTATAACCGTTAAGATCATCATATAATTGTCGAGGATAATTGATTTAACGATTACAAATCTCGATAAAATGTTTTTCAAAACGGTTTTATTTATTTGTTAATTAGTTACCCATGTAAAATGGCCACCATGAAACCAACAAAGCAAAAGCAAAGAGAAAAGGGTAAATACGGAGATAGATGTTGTACCTAACCGTTGACATGTGACTCGCCGTTTGCAAATTGCAAACTGCAATTAGTTCGCAATGATTTTATGTTGACTTTTAGCATCCAAAGCCCTAAATGAATACAATTCGATTCAGGATAGACACTCTAGTGGAGATTAGAGCTTTACGTATAAAGCTTTATTATGAATACAATTGGATTCGGTTTGATTTGTGAATGTTCAAGTTCGACTCGTTCTTTTAATGAAATAATCAAACTAAGAAGCTAATCGAGCTTAATTTGTTTATTAATTAAATAATCAAACTAAGAAGCTAATCGAGCTTGATTTGTTTATTAATTAAATAATAAAACTAAGAAGCTAATCGAACTTAATTTGTTTATTAATTAAATAATCAAACTAAGAAGCTAACCGAGCTTATCTATTAAACAAATTGAGAACTTATTGTGAACAATTCTTTATTTGTTATTTTATTTATTATTCTGAGATTTAAAATAAAAAATAAGAGTATTTGACTAGTTCTCCAACATCTCGATTAAGAAGCCAACTTTTTGAATCGTTTATTAAAGAAACCGAGTCGAGACGCTTCACTTGCCAACTCGACTCATAATAAAAGAGCACGGTCTCGAACATGAGCTGCTCAACCAGACTCGGCCTGACTCGATTACTGTAACTTTATTCAAATCGAGTTGTTCGCAAATACAATTGTATTTAGCTCATGAAAATTTGAATCGGGCTCTTTTGTTAATTTCAGTGAATCAAGCTCAAACAACTAATCGAACTTGCTAATGAAACGACCCCAACCTAAATTTTTTCGCGAACAACTCAAATTTTATCTTTTATTCTTTAACTTGAAATAAAACAGTCTAGTCGACTTGTTCACGACCCACTTATTTAAGATATTAGTAATTGAGTTGTTTGTCTCATTTATCAACTCGACTCGCCTAATAAACAAGCACAAACTCAAACATAAGCTATTCCGCTCAGACTTCGACTATAATAAGTTAATAACATTAACACTAAGTCCGCACACAAACCAAACTCAAAGTACTGACAATATCCAAAAGATCAAAGATCAAAAGTAAAATAAACGACAAAAACACATTCACTCTCAATCTCAGTTAATGGCAAAATTGGTAA